CAGTTATCTTGATGAGTAAGTTCCTCAAGAGAAAAAAAAATCGGTTAGCTTCTAAAACAATCTTTATGAATTCAAATTTGATAGTCACGAAACTTAATCATTCATAACATATTTAATATTAAAGAAAAAGAAAAAAACATCGAAGTAAATCACAATTGCAGTAGAAAAAAGTTCAAAAATCACCTCTTTAAAAATCTCTAAATCATTGCCTCTCATCCGTTACCTCGCCAAATGAAAGATCCACATCAATTTAATAATAATAATAATAATAATAATAATAATAGTAAACTAGATCGCAAACAACCAGTTAAAAAGAATCAAATCTCTTTAAAAAGAATCAAATCTCTTTAAAAAGAATCAAATCTCTTTAAAAAGAATCAAATCTCTTTAAAAATCTCCAAGTCGCTGCCTCCCAATCGATCCTTCGTTTGCAAGTCCTTTGGCAAAGAGCTCCCAGGTACACTTAAGTGGCTCGTCTTCCCGCGTCTCTCGCGTTCTGGCTCCCGCTCGCTCGCCAAGTGGCAAGTCGTCGCTCTAGATAAGGGAACGAGAGGGGATGAATGGTCTCCTCGGAGGATGGGACACGAGCAGGATAATGGGAAAAATAATATATGTGGATAGATAGCTAAATAGGTAGGTAGGTAGATAGGTAGATAGGTAGGTAGATAGATAGATGATGAATGGTTCCCTTAGAGGATGGTACACGAGGAGGAGGATGGAAAAATATAGATAGATAGAGAGATAGATAGATAGATAGGGATGAATGGTTCCCCTCAGAGGATGGTACATGAGGATAATGGAAAAATAGATAGATAAATAGATAAAAGATCATTCTATTGCATAGCGATGTATTTTAATGGAATTCGGTAATTTCGTTGTGATATAGACCCGAGAGGTTAATGGAAAAAACATAGATAAAATATTTTTTCTGTTGCATAGCGATGGATTTAATTGGAATTCGTTGAGAAAAGAGAGTGGAGAGGTTCGTGTGTTGATGGCGATGTAGAATTTTTTTGGAGTTGAAGTAATTAAGCATAAATGAAGAGTGAATGATTGTACGATTGTCCGTGAATCATGAGTGTGTCAAGGCTGTTGAGTTTTATTATGTGAAAGTGATTTTATTATCTCTTTAATTCATTTTTCATCCGAGCGCCGTCAAGTGTAGTGTATCAATAAGTATACCATTCATATATATGTTAAATATCGTGCGAACCAATCGGTGTAACATTCTTCATTTTAATCAGTGTAATATCACGTCATTTCGCGAAGTATATCATAAAATATTTGATTTGTAGAAATTAGAATTCATGAATTCATCATAAGGAATAGTTTATGCATACGTTCATGTGTGGGTAGATTACCTCTCTTAACTTCAGTCATTTCAGAAGAACAATTTCATGTGTAAAAAGCTGTCTTCTTGTGATTCAATCTTTCCGTAAGTCATTCGGTAATTATCTTTAAAAGAAAATCATATTCGCTCATCCTGTTGTAGTAACACCATGCAGCACATTCACGATAGGAATTATCTTAAGTATGTCGAATTTCCATCTAAAAAAAATAATAAATAAATGATTTAATCGTTCACTGATTGAAAATTCGAACTGCTCTGATAACTCACGGAGATGTATCCGATATTTTCGAAACAACGATACTTAGATTTTATCACTAATGCACGATTTGATCAAAGAGCCATCAGATATTACCACCTCCCGATATAAAAGGATACAGCCACATTTATAGATATGCGCCATGAACATCAATCATGTACGTCTTGTATATAAAAATCATGCATTTGTCACGAAGACTGAATCAGCTTTTTAAGATGTCTTCGCGATACCCTTAGTCTCCCGCTTCTGCTCCTTTTCCTTCGTTTATCCTCATCATCTCTTTATTTCCGTGTGCAAAGTCTTCTCTCGCTCTCCTTCCCTTCTCTCTTTCCCTGCTCCCTCCCCCCCCCTTCCCCAGGCCTCTCCTCCCCCGGTTTCCACGCGCTTCCCCAGCTCGGCCAAGTGCCACTCGTGTTAAATCTGAACATGACCGGCGGAGCATCGAACCAAGGGAGCCGCTGCCAACTTCCGCCTCTCACTCCTCTCTCCCCTCCTCTCCCTGCTCTCCCCTCCTCTCCCCCTGCTCTCCCCTCCTCTCCCTCGGCCCGTCCGTACGACTCGGGGTGCCAACCAGTCCCCCCTCCCCTCCCTCCCTCCCCATACCCCTGCCCCCTCCTTGCCTTCCCTCCTGCCCCTCATTCCTCTCCCCGAGGTGCCATCGCCGTGCCATATCTCACCGGGTGAATTTATGAACTCTATTGGCTTTAATAGAGAGACTACGAGAGGAATGAATGTAGAATCCTTGATCTTCGGGAAGGGCGAGGGGGTCGCAGGGGGGTTGGCAGTGGCACTCATTTGGCACGTCCTGGGGCTATCAGGTGGCACCGATGCCCTTCCCCGAGCGGCCCGAGCGCCACCCTCTACCCCACATGAACCTCTCGGCTCGAACCAGCTGTCTGCATTAGAAAAGATGATTCACTTTGGCCATTCAAAATACCCCAATAGGTAGGGTGTTGATCAGGAAGACTTTACACCCATAACTGCTTGAAATAATATTTTTTTTTTTATCAATTACACTAAAGGATGCCGAATCTAGTTTAGGAATTCAGATTTTCTGAAGCATCATTTTCTTCTATTAGAGCTGGAGGATGCTATTTAGTCAAAAACTATTGGTTTTGGCTCCAGGCTGAAGATGAATGGACAAGCACTTCAGTGATACACACCATAACAATCCCA